GGGGGGGGGGGCTTATTTTAGATGCACTTATCAAGGTGAAGAATGTGAACAGTTTGATATGTTGGACTTTGTGTTACAGCTGTTGTGAAATTGCAAATATGCTTAAGCTTACCTCTTGTTAGTAACTCTGCACAATGTGTCCATGTAGATTAAATGAATATGTGGAGAACTAATATAATATAATTCCTTATTTCCAAAAGAACCTTGTTTTAAGTTTGAATCTGAATTGTTAAAGGCTAAAGTCTGTATCTGTAACTCAAGCTATGACTCCTTGCTTACCTTACATATTGCTTTGGCTTGGACCAGGAATACGGATGCTGTGGCACGTCCAGAAACCCGCCACAGTAGCTTTCCTTCTTTAACAACATGCGGTTGGACGAGTGCTCGTCATCGCAAAGATGTCCCGGACTCAGCTCCTCGCTCCCTGGCTCCACCTTCAGGCTGACCGTGGGGCTGTGCTCCAGGCTGGTTTTCCTGGCCTTCATGGGGATCCCCTCCCCGAGGTCAACCACTCCGTCTGTGGTCAAGGCGTTAATGGCCGCCAGGATGGCTGAATTGGTGTACTGGTTGGTGTTTGGAAGCCAGGTTTCCTCTGTGACACTGAGGCGAGGGGAGGTCTGTGGAGACAGTCCAGGGGAGTGGTTGGGCGAGTAGGGGTAGGGCTTGTGCGGCGCCCTGCTGCCGTTCAAGCTGTACTTCCTCTTTGCACCACAAGGGGAGTTGGGTCTGGAGCCACGCTGACCCATCCAGGTGTCATCTGTTATACTTGTGCGGGGAGAGGTGGAGGGGGAGCCTCCAGAGGCACAGCCATCACCCGGCAGGGTGAGGGTGGAGCCCTTGGGGGACACGGAGGGAGACTGCCACGGGGAGTTCTGGGGCGAGTTGTCATAGTTGTAGGAGAAGCTGGATTCATAGGAAGCGTCAGAGTGGCAGCTGCGAGACGAGATGCTGCTGGCCGGACTTAGGCAGCTGGGGTCGCGATAACTTTCTCCACTGGGAAGGGTCAGTGTCACTATGGAGTTGACTCGCTTAGCAACAGGAAGGCTGCTCTCCTCCACCGCGTCCTCAGGAAACTGACCATATGCTGTGATCTCGATACGAGGGCTCTCCAGGGTCGGTGCTCCGTTTGGGCGGGTGCTTGGGGACGAGTAATAGCCGGCGGCCCTCATGTCATCCTGGGTGTCATAACCGTGTGGCTCGGGGACAGACACAGATATGACAGGGCTGGACTGGAGGCTGTGGTACTGTGACGGAAGACAGGGGTTGCCCAGCGGGAGGGAGAGACTGACATTTGGCGTGTAGCCATATGCATCTGGAAAGCAAACAGTTGAAGTTTGTTAGCGAGATAATCAAACACAGTCACTGGCTCCTTCATTGACACCGCTGAGTCTTATGAGAGCTGTTGCCTGTAACTGCAAAAGAGCTGCTTCCCTACTGGAGCTGAACCTGGCTACTTAAAACTTCACACCTCATCTGCAGAAGTTCCCCGAACACACGAGGCCAGTGACACAAAGCATCTCTGAATGGCTCAAATTGTGCAAATTAAATTGGGTGGGAGTCGCGAATAAAGCAGCCAAAAATAACTACGGCCTAAAAATAACCAAAGGCAAGACCAGGTGGTTTTTTTCCATGACACGTTGCCAGATTTATGCCACTTAATGCACATGCTGCTGCCCGTAAACTGTAACATTAAGAAAGCACACACTGACGCTTTTGTTGGCCAGTTTCATGTTCCAACAGCCTTCAAAAATAAACACAGGGGGGACATGATTCGTTTATTTGCATGCTGTAAAGGTGCATGCTGTACTCATGGTCTCATGCCACCGCTCCCGCTGGCTCAAATGAAACTCTGAGGCGACGGCTGAGGTCACAACCAGGGGCAGGGGTGGGTGGGGGAACATGGGAACGGGGAGTTGTGGTTACATGGTGCATGGCAGCCTGGGTGAGGGCGACCACAGTGGAGCGCATTGATATGGATGAAGACGACAGACAGATGCAGTCACCACAGCTCCTGTCTGCTGTGAATTAAAGAGAATTAGGGGCCCCACTGTAAAGACTATGACATCAGCACTGCTCCATATGAGTCCTTGCAATAAAAGAAAATGATGCTTACATATAACGCAGCTTGCGGTGTGTGACACAGTAGCACCGAGATGGTTTGTTTTTCTATAATTAGACTGATGTGAATTAGCCGGGACCCAAACAGGTACCCTGAGGGGCTACCATCAAATGACTAATGCTCAATACTGGCCCTCTGATTCACTTACCCACAATGCCATGTCACCACTCATTAGCACATGTTCAATTCTGACTATTTTGGGAACACTTTCAGTCATGAGAGGCACAACCACGCCCACCATCAGCAGGGAGGGGCAACAAAAAAAAAA